GAGGACATTTTACCTCATGCACTATTTAATAGTGTATTAAAAAGGTATATATGTGTCCACGTGAACACATTACTATTTAAAATGATGAAATATTTATGATATCCACGTAGGCACACTATTAAATAGTACAGGGGTAAAAGGTCATTTCCAAAGTTTGGTATCGTAACATCAATTTCGACCAAAATTAGAGTATTTTTCATATCATTTTCTCTAAAATTAATATTTCTATTTTTAAAAATTCTAATCAAAATTAATTTTCGAATTAGTAAAATGATTCTTTCATTTATAAATACAGAGCCCACCCCCAAAACCAAGTTGTCCGGCTAGTGACCAAGAAAAAGTGAAGACTTGCATGTTCAACACAACTTCAATTGATGAATGTTGCCCTACATTTAATAGCATACTTGGCACTAGTTGCCCTTGCTATAAGTATGCTGAGGATTTAGATAATCAAGTCCTGATCACTCTCGAAATCTTATTGTGACGTTAATAATCCTTGCAACACTGTGCAAGTAAGTTATCATTTTTATATTTATTAGAAAAAATTACTATTCAAGATTATGAATAATATACATGTCTAATATTGCATTATTTTAATTAATAATTTCAGGTGATTAAGCTATCCAAGGATGAAGAGTGAAGATGAAGTGTTTTTAATGCTTAATTTCAGATCTTGTAATATTGTGTTTTTAGCAATAAAAATTTGACATTTTTGTCAAAAAAATATTACATGGACTTGATAATCTTGAGAAAGGATGAGAAAATTTTGGAACATAAAAAATGGAAATCCCAATTGGATTTGGGTAGGTATACTATAATATTCACTCATATTATACAGTAGCGGATTCAAGATTTTCATTAAAAAAAATTTAAAAACTTAATATAATATTAAAACCTTAAGATGTTTTTTAAATTCACTTGACTCTACTCTTATATATAAAATTATCTTATATATTTTCAAGTTTATTTATCGAGGAGGTTGGATAAACACATTCACGACCCCTAGATCCACCTTTGTTTTTTTTTTTGGAACTCTGATTAAATTCAAATTGCGCACTGCAGAATTTATTCAGGATTAACGCTTCCAACAAAATATAATCATACCTAAGACTCGAACCCGATAAATCTAATCAAAAGTGAAATAGTTTCACCAATACATCACCCTCGATTTTATTATTGGCCATAACCTCAGATATTATTTTTTTCATAAAAAGACAACTCACAGAAGGAAGACAAAAAAGTTTCTTCTATTAAACAACAATAGTAACTTGACAATCACAAGAAGGCAATGAACTTTTTTTGTTTACAAGACAATGATTTTTTATCTTTATCTTTGTGGTTGAGGAATAAAAATCACTTTTAATATACAACTTTTTATTCCAAAAGTAAAAATTTGAAATTCAAATTAATCGAATTCAAAAGTGAATATTACATCGTGGGAAAAAAAGTCTATCTTTTTTACTCATGTGATTTAAAAGCAACCAATATAACTATAGGAAGTGTTTGATCATAAAATGTTTCATATTTTTCGGAGTCAAATTTTGAAATATATATTTGAATTTAGTCATAAATTTCGAAATTCAACTTGAAGTTAAATTTTAGAATTTAACTCTTTTCTTTTAGAGAAAGGGAAAATGGATGAGGAGATTATAAGATGAATTGAGTTCTCGTTAACCAGGTGAAAATTTTAATAATCAACCAATCAAATTGTTAAGATTCATTGCTAACCCTAGCCGTCATATTATGATAGGAAAATGTTATCATTTCAACACATGGTATATCTACACATTATATGTGAGGATATTGAAGAAGGATAAAAAAAATTGCACGGATCGCTCCTATTTTGAGATGGTCATTAATTTTTATATTTACTATTTAATTAATAAAAAATTATTGATCAAAGTACTTTTATTTGAGTTTGCACCACACAAATTTAAAGATTTTTGCCTTATCCATTATAAGTTTGGAATAAATTAAGTTATCCACTTTTTACCTAATTTGACATAATTCTTAGGAACTATATATATCACTGTCACGATAATTTGTGGGTGTGAAATGAACATTTGTTTTGATCGATATAGCACATAGAAATCAAGAGGCGTGACTTGTGTTATATTATCATACAAATATATATATATATATATATATATAAAACTAATGTCAGGCAAAATATTATTTCAACATCAGTCATAATTTTGATACTTATTTTTTACTTAATAAAGTTATAAAGAACAAAATTTCAAGACGATCAAATTTGAGAACATAAATTAATGACCTCTCAAAATAGAGATATTTGTATGAATAATAAACTAATGAACTAACAAACTAATTAATCATCTATTTCAAAGTAGTCAAAAAAGTATTTTTTTTTTATGTCTCTGTGTATCATGTGATATTGAATTAAGAAAAATGTCCTTTTTGGAATATACTTTTTTAATCTAGTAAATATATCAGTTAATGAAAAGAGTAAATCTACTTCGTTTGTTGGACGATAAATGAGTATATATGCACTACTTTTTAATGATAAATATATTCGCTCTAAATCGTAAAAAACATGATAATCATATGCTACTTTTCTCCACTTTGTTAAAGCCACACCTACCACATCAGTAATTTCAAAAAATTCACATATATATAGATTGGTCATATCTCTTTATTATAGGACACAAATCATTTAATCACTCAAAAATAAGTAAAATCATGAAAGATGTTTATGATGTTAATGGTTGCAACAATTTTATTTTATAGTCTCCACAAATCATTTATGATGTTAACACAACTCCAATTGACGAATGTTGTCCCATATTCAAGAGTACACTTGGGACTAGTTGCCCTTGCTATAATTATGCTGACGATTTGGATAATCAAGTCTTGATCACTCTTGACGTTTATTTTAATATGATTATATCTTTTTAAATAGTAAGGATGGAATTCAAGAATTAATAAAATTAAGGGAAAAAGGTATGAAAAATATTTTAACTTTGGCTGAAATTGTTGTTACGATATCAAACTTTATGAAGAACATTTTACCTCCTGCACTATTTAATAGTGTATTTTAAAGATATATATGTGCCCACGTGGATACATTACTATTTAATTTGATGAAATATTTATGATGTTCACGTAGGCACATATATACCTTTAAAATACACTATTAAATAGTAAAGGGGTAAAAGGTCCTTTCCAAAGTTTGGTATCGTAACAACAATTTAGATCAAAGTTGAAGTATTTTTCAGATTCTTTTCTCTAAAATTAATATTTCTATTTTTTAAAATTCTAATTTAAATTATTCTTCGAATTAGTAAAATGATTCTTTCATTTCTAAATACAGTGCCCTCCCCCAAAACCAAGTTACCTGGCTAGTGACCAAGAAAAAGTGAAGACTTGCATGTTCAACACAACTTCAATTGATGAATGTTGCCCCACATTTAATAGCATACTTGGCACTAGTTGCCCTTGCCAAAAGTATGCTGAGGATTTAGATAATCAAGTCCTAATCACTCTCGAATCTTATTGTGACGTTAATAATCTTTGCAATAGTGTGCAAGTAATTAAGTTACCATTTTTATATTTATTAGCAAAAATTACTATTCAAGATTATGAATAATATACATGTCTAATATTGCATTATTTTAATTAATAATTTCAGGCGATTAAGCTATCCAAGGATGATGAAGTATTTTTAATGCTTAATTTCAGATCCTATAATATTGTGTTTTTATTAATAAAAATTTGACATTTTTGTCAAAAAAAAATAAAATTACGTGGACTTGATAATCTTGAGAAAGGATGAGAAAATTTTGGAACATAATAATTGGAAATCCCAATTGAATTTGGGTACATATACTATAATATTCACTAGTATTATTTAGCGGCAGATTCAAGATTTTTATTATAAAAAATTTTAAAAAATTAATATTCGATATATCGATTTAAAATTGTGTTAATTTGTAAGTCTAAAATTTTGATAATTAGAAAAATATTTTTTACTTAAATTCAATTTCGTAAAGAATTTGGCCTTTTTTTTCAGCCTGACCTACTAAGTAAGTCGGTTAGAAATCTAAACGGGATACGAAAGAGATTACACTTCTAAATGTAAAATTGTATGAAAGGATATTTTATTTCAATAACTATAATTTGTATTTATATTGATGCAAACTTAATGAAAGATACAATGAAAATATCTACTAGTTGAAAATACATTGTTATAGAAATTTTAATCTTTGATTATCAGAGTTATGGTTATTTTATATATATATATATTAAACTTTTATTATGTAAAATGATGATATTTATGAAATAAATTTAAAAGAAAAAGTAGATTTAGATATCGGTCCTAATTTATTTGGGGTTAAGACAAAATTATTGTTATTGTTAATTTATTCTATAATTTCAATTTTAACTTGAAAATAATAATTAAAGTTTGAAAAACAGACTTAGAAGTATTTTAAGTTTTCATTCATAAAATTTTATTATTTTTCATGTTCATTCCATGGCTATAATCCGTAACTATAGATTAAATTAACTTTAAATATTTGACTTTTGTAAAAATAATGTGTCATTTACTACTACTTTTTTGTTAGATTTACCTAATTCTTTGGCTAATTTGTTTTTCATAAATTTGTAAAATTCAATTAATTAAGAAAATGTTTTTTTTTAAACATAACTTGTTCTAACATTGTTTGTCTGGATAATTTTTAATTTTTACAACAAAATGTTTCTAATATAAAAAAAATATATTATACTGAATAACATGAAAAATCAACTCTTAAAAAACGTAACTATTATAGTGAAATTGTTGTGGATAATATTTCTTTTATATATATATATATGCAATAATTTTAAAAATAATATGTACTTTATTGAAAAAATATCAGACATGATCCATTAGGAATGGACTTAATTAGTCATTTTTTGAAGAAATAATATTTTATGCAAGTGGATCTATATGACATTGAATTATCTCAACTAACTCTATAAAATTATTTTTGTATATATATAGATGGTTGATATCTCTTCATAGTACAAACACTTAATTAGTAAAAAATGGCAATTATGAAGATGCTCATGATGTTAGTGGTGACTGCAATTTTATTTTGCAACAACCACCAACTGACCATGGCGAAAGAAGTCGCCTTGGTCGATGAGGGAAGTGAGTCACTAGGCTCATCCCCATTTGACTTTCTATGTCAACATTTGTCGTGGCCACACCCTTGGCCACAACCATGCCATCCTCCAAGGCCAAGGCCACGACCACGACCACGACCACGACCTAGACCTAGACCACGACCATGCTCACCACCACCTCCACCACCGAGCTCACCACCAAGATCACCACCACCTCCCTCCCCGGCAACGACTTGCTCGGCTAGTGACCAACAACAAGTGAAGACATGCATGTTCGAGACAACTTCAATCGATGCATGTTGCCCAATATTCAGGAAGATACTCAGGACTAGTTGTCCTTGCTATAAGTATGCTGAGGATTTGGACAATCAAATCTTGATCACTCTCGAAGCTTATTGTGATGTCAGTACCCCCTGCAAGGGTGTGCAAGTAAGTCATCGTCAATCATTTTTATCTATCGTTTAAGATTTTGATCCACTCTTTTATTTATGAACACATTCCTAATGTTGTATTATGTTAATTAATTTCAGGTGATTAAGCTATCCAAGAATGAGTCAAGATGAAGTTTTTGATGCTTAATTGTTTCAGATCTTGTTTTAGTTTCTCTTTATGTTGAAAAGTCTCAAGCTAATTAATTATATGTTATAATACTTTGAATTTCTAAGGGTACACTTGTAATTGCGCATGAGCAATTTTAGTAGTACAAATAAGGTTTTTTTTTGGTTGACTTGAGTGACTAAAGATTTTAATATTGAAAATTGAATTATTAAAAATAAGTTAATAAATAATTTATATTTTTGCGATTTCGCTCAAAATATTAGTTTTTCTTTCTAAAGAAATTAAAAGTCACTTTTTTGTAGTTATTTTACCCAAAAGGTCATTCATATCGAAAAGTGATATATTAAATTACTTTTTAATGATGTAAGCACATCTGATTTTTAAGTAAAACATTAAATCAAACATATTTTAATTAAAATCGAACAAATACCTTATCATTAAAATACGTTAATATGTTGAGGAAATTCTTTTTTTCTATCAACAAATAATAATTTTTTAGCAATATGAACACGTCACGTCTTGATTTCGTGACCTAATTTTGGATCATAAAGAGTCAGAAATGAAATTTTTGATTAAAATGAATAACTTTTTTATTCTTTAATTAAAAAATCAAGTGTCAAATGTAAATATCATTAAACGATCCACACAATTTATCGCGTGCTATCCGCTTTCTGCACTCTCTCAGGAGAAAAAATTAACTCCTCTAAATCAAAGGTGCTATACTCTAAAGATTTCTTCCCTTTCGCACTATGGCATATCTGGTTGCATCGAAACCAGCAGGTCTTTCGTCCAAACGCAGCCTCTACAAACCATATTTCCATTAAAAAAAAATGAATAGAATAATGACTTTTTAAGTTAAATAACACCAAATAAGCGAATTTTTTTTTATACAGAAGAAAAAACGAAAAATCAAATTTCATTCACCTATTTTCAATAATTGAATTAACAATTAAAACAATGAACTCTTGAATTGGATACGAAAATAATATGTTCAAACACAATTAGTAAAAATAGTCCATTGTGATTTGAAATATGCTACACTTGTCATGGGGATTTGTGCCATTTCTTTTAAAATTTGATTAATTTAAATTTACACCTAAAAGTTAGGTTAAAATTCTATAATATAAAATAAATAAATATTCCTAATCGTTTGCACGTGATAAGCCAGTACAATGTCCCTATCAAATAAATCACAGATTGAAAATGAGACTATACAATAGAATTTCATGATCAAATGATCATAATAATAATGAAAAAAAATAATGAGTTTAACAATGTAAAAATAATTTTTTTTAAATGTAGAATATCAAGATTTAAATTTAATCTGTTTGACATTATAAATTTAATATTGAAGATCATATGTTGATTACATTCACTTATAATATAATAGCGAAAAAATTCAAACTAGATTTTATCATTATTATCTTTTAATTTGTCGTTATAGTAAATTATCTGTCTTATTTTTAATATTAATAATAGCAAAAAACATGGTAAAAAAAGTAGCCAAGTGTCATTCTCTTAGCGATCTTAGTTTCAAGCACTTACTTGAGCTTACAAGACTGTGAAAGATTCGTGAGTTAGTTGTTGAGTGCCGCACGAAGCTTTAGAGAGACTCTAAGTTGGTGACACAAGGCTTACCAATCTTCAAAAAGGGGGAAATAAAGTAGTTTGAAGGAAATGGTTAGTTTGTTAAAAGTTACAAATAGTGGCAAAGTTAGAGTGCTGAATATGAGTTCGATCGAATTCAATAATTTAATTTAAATTTTATATTTATTTGTCAAATTAGGTAAAAAATATTAAAATAAATGAAGATAAATTAGTTGAATACCTCTTATTTAATATTCTTTATAGAAGAACTAGATAAACATGTTCATGCTTAGCACCGGCCCAACGTTTTATATTTTTAATGGTGGATCTTTTAACCTTGTTATTTGGAGGCACAAGGTGGGAGTAAAACTAAACGAAAATGAGAAAAATAGAAGCACATGATACTCGAAGCCTGTATGAATTAAAAATAAGTTCAAGTTTATAATACACTTTACATAGCCTAACGTACAATCAGTTTTTGCAGTGTTCGTTCAATTGTTTCAAGTTGTGTATTGTATTATCTTTTAGTGTATTGTACAATCAGTGAGTGCCCAATTGTTTGATTGAGATTAAATAGACAGATTTTATATTGATATTGACAATTGAACATGAGATTTGTATATATCTTTAAATTAATATATTTTCCCTTGTCTTATTTTCTTTAATAAAGTCTCTTGTTTGTCACAAGAAAATTAAGAAAAAGAAAAATCTCTCTTGTATATCCAATTGATGTCTCTATGTTGAGAAATTTGAAAAGAAATAGGAGAGGATTTGAGCAAATATGAATAGAAAAAGTTAAGCTCAAATTGGAGAGGATTTTAGAATAATGCTGAGTATCATGGATTTCCTCTTCATTGTGACTTGATTATTTTTCGGTATTAAATTGAGGGACTTAATAATAGGTGTGCTATTACATGTAGCCCCGCCAATTGTTTGACTTGACTCATCTTCCATCTAAGCAAAATTTGTAAGAGAAAATCAATATGTTATCTTAATTTTTTTTCGAATTAAAGATTTGACGACGGAAGTAATAACATAATGAAGAGGAAATATATGGGAAAAAAACTATATATACTGCCCCTAGCGATGAGTTTAGACATAAGCTTAGAACTAATAGGAATATAAGATAAAATTGTTATCATACCTTGGCTACAATGAAGATTGGTACCATAAACTGTAAAAGATTGAAATTTAAAATGGACAAGATCTTGATTCTTGCGTCACGTGAGTCCTGAAAGCATGATGATTGATGAATGATTTTTTGCCGTAAGTTATTACTTTGTAGGCTACGTTAACAAGTTATAAACTCCAAAGAATCAAAAGACTTTTGCCCTAAGCCTAGTACATAATTTTTATATTTTATGCTATTATATGAGTATAATCTATTGGGCTAATTATATACACAATATATATGGGCTATAAACTTATAATAGCTATATGGGGTGGACCCTAATTTTTACTAAATAATTCGATATTCAGGAAATACCAAATCGCAAATGGTATTAATGTCGCATACCAAACCCAAACTCAAATATCATAATTTTAAAATCTTACTCTCAAATACCATACCAAATACCGAATTATCGGATACTAAATTATCAAAATTTTGATTCAATTCGGTAATTCAGTTTTTGATATTTTATGCTCAGCCCTGTTTCCAGGTGATATGTTGAGACCACAAGATTAAAAGACAGTTTAGTACATTCTATCTATCTTAAGTTTAAGACCACAAGATTGGAAAATATTATTTACTTTCTTAAACTCGATATCAAGTTTAAATCAGACAAACAAATTGAAATGGAGAAAGTATATATATTATCATATGTATGAAGGGTTGTTGAAACTTCTTCTTCTTGAAGAGTATCTGTAACACCTCAGTCATAGAAAGAGCTAATTTTAGAAAAAACTAAATTCGAAAGAGCTAATTTGAGATTGGTGCAAGTTAGACTTCAATTGTGAGTTTTGGGTCAACTTAAAATGACCATAACTTCCGGCAGAAGATGAGTTAGGTGGCCCAAGAGATATCAGATGAAAGATTTTTAAGTCCTCTTTCCAAAACCACCAATTTGCTAAATTTCGAGTTCGGATAAGGAAGATATGCCCATTTTAGTTTAGCTTGTTCGATTAAGGAAATTAATCCAAAATAAGGAGGGGTATTTTGGTCTTTTTCTTACCCCATTAGCTTTAAATGTTTTGGTTACCCAAATAGGGGTCTAAACTGATTGAGATCAGTTTTCACAATTCCTAAACACGCTTAGGATTTCAGAGAGAAGTTCAAGAGGAGGAAAAAGAGAAGTTCAAGCGTTCGTTCAAGATTCTTGCGATCTTCGAGAAATTTTGCCAAGGATTTGATCCTTATGAGGTATGTAAGCTTTCAAAGTGATGGGTTCGTTCACCCTTACACCAATCATGAGTTTCTTGATTTAATTTTGTCCATGAAATTTGTGTATTGAAGTTTGATAAAGTGTAACTCTATCAAAGATATTTCATCCAATACTAAGCATCAACGATCGTTCAATAGTAATATAACCCAACTAGTCAGTTGGGGTCGAGTTCCAAGGGAGTGGTTCGTACTCAAGAATCAATAGAAAAGTAAGAATATGCTCTAGTCAATCATAGCTAAAAACATTTACGAATAAAAGCATGGTTTAAATTTTAGGTGACACAAGTGTCATATCAATAGGGGCCTTGTTCGTATTATCAACTAAAACAACAAATAACACGAAAATACGAATATGGAGACGAGATTCTTGGGATGTGATTGGATTATGGGCTAAGGTAAACAACCGGGTAATTGAAATTAATAGTAAACAACTACAAATTAGTGAATAAGCTAGATTTTAGTGGGCGTAAACTTTCTCTCGAACAATTTACCCCGAATCAAATTGGTTTCTCTCGAACACCAATAAGTAGCAATGAAGCACAACCTTCGCTTTAGTCCATTCACTCTCTCGAGCTGAATGTGTGGAAAAGGATTTAGGGTTCACTCTCTCGAGCTAAACCCATGACAACCCAATACCCATAGACCATTGATTCAGTAATTTTGATTTTAAAACCCCTCTCTCTCTCGAGCAAGCCAAAACACAAAGTTAAGGTTGTATTTGCAACTACAACCAATTAAATTCAACTATAATTACTGAACGAAATCACTTTTAAACAGCAAATAAACTATCAATTAACAATATCCAGTAGTTAAATCAACCCATAATCACATAATCACACCCTAAGAATTGGGGTTTTAGCTAGACATAGTAAAAAGGTAAAAATCGTTACCAAGTTGCGTTTTCATCAACTGGGTAGGGTTGATATAGTCTTTACAAAGGTCTAAGATGAAGAATCTTCAACACCCACTTCCAATTTCTGAGAAATGAAAATCTTCAAAGCTAAGGAAATATTGTCTCCCTATTCAGTTCTAAGCTCTCAACTTCAAAAACTGAAAAATATTATGATTCCCTAATAGATCATATACTACACTAAAAATTTAAACAAGTATTTATAGTTGTCAAAAAGTGTGTTGCGGAGGTTCAGTCGGCGCAGTTAGTCGGTATCTCTGATCCAATCGGCGATCAGCCCTTTGGTAATTTTCATCGCCGTTTTGCTTTTGCCTTCAGCATCTTC